GCGGCGCCGCTCCACCGTGTTCCTGTCGGTGGGCGCCATCGAGGGGAGCCCCCCGAGCGCGGACCTGCCCTCCCTGCAGCCCTCCCGCTCCATCGACGAGCGCCTTCTGGGCGCCGGCGCCACCACCGGCCGCGACCTGCTGTTGCCCTCCCCCGTCTCTGCTCTGAAGCCATTGGTCAGCGGCCCGAGCCTTGGGCCTTCCGGCTCCACCTTCATCCACCCGCTCACCGGCAAGCCCTTGGACCCCAGCTCGCCCCTGGCCCTGGCGCTGGCTGCCCGGGAGCGGGCCCTGGCTTCCCAGACGCCCTCCCGGTCCCCCACGCCCGTGCACAGCCCTGACGCCGACCGCTCCGGGCCCCTGTTTGTGGACGTTCAAGCCCGCGACGCTGAGCGAGGAGCCCTGGCCTCCCCAGCCTTCTCCCCAAGGAGCCCAGCCTGGATTCCTGTGCCTGCTCGAAGGGAGCCGGAGAAAGCCCCCCGGGAGGAGCGGAAGTCACCCGAGGACAAGAAGTCCATGATCCTCAGCGTCCTGGACACGTCCCTGCAGCGGCCAGCTGGCCTCATCGTTGTCCATGCCACCAGCAATGGGCAGGAGCCCAGCAGGCTGGGAGCTGAAGAGGAGCCCTCCAGCACCCCAGAGCTGGCCCCAGCACCCACACAGTCAGCAGTGGTAGCAGAGCCCCTGCCCAGCCCCCGGGTCCAGCCCCCTAGCAGCACCCCAAAAGACCCCGGGCCAGGGCAGGGCAGCTCGGAGGAGGAGCCAGAGCTGGTCTTTGCTGTGAACCTGCCTCCTGCCCAGTTGTCCTCTAGCGACGAGGAGACCAGAGAGGAGCTGGCGCGCATTGGGCTGGTGCCACCCCCCGAAGAGTTTGCCAACGGGCTCCTTCTGGCCACCCCACTGCCGGGCCCAGGTCCCTCACCCACCACGGTGCCAGGCCCGGCCTCAGGGAAGCCCAGTAGTGAGATGCCCCCTGCCCCTGAGTCTGCAGCCGACTCGGGGGTGGAGGAGGCTGACACACGCAGCTCCAGCGACCCTCACCTGGAGACCACAAGCACTATCTCCACAGTGTCCAGCATGTCCACCCTGAGTTCCGAAAGCGGGGAACTCACGGACACCCACACCTCCTTCGCTGATGGACACACTTTTCTACTCGAGAAGCCACCAGTGCCTCCCAAGCCCAAGCTCAAGTCCCCGCTGGGGAAGGGGCCGGTGACCTTCAGGGACCCTCTGCTGAAGCAGTCCTCGGACAGTGAGCTCATGGCCCAGCAGCACCACGCCGCCTCCACAGGGCTGGCCTCTGCTGCTGGGCCTGCTCGCCCTCGCTACCTCTTCCAGAGAAGGTCCAAGCTGTGGGGGGACCCCATGGAGAGCCGGGGGCTCCCTGGGCCTGAAGACGACAAACCAACTGTGATCAGTGAGCTCAGCTCCCGCCTGCAGCAGCTGAACAAAGACACCCGCTCCCTGGGGGAGGAACCGGTTGGTGGCCTGGGCGGCCTGCTGGACCCTTCTAAGAAGTCTCCCATCGCGGCAGCTCGGTGAGCAGGGCAGTTGGGGAGGGTCCTGTCGATGTCCATGGGCCTCCCTGTCTTCCTCTTGTCCATCATGGTTCCCTCTGTCCCACCCCTGCCAGTCCTTTCCTGTCTACCTCTCTGTCTTTTATCTGGCCTTGCTTCGTCCGTCTGAGACAGAGGCGCTCTCAGGGATCTGAAGTGTCAGGCTGCTGTTCTCTACTCCATTGGTGCTGAGAGTGAGAGCCAGGCATCTGTCGGAGACCCGGGCTGGGTGTGAGCCCCTCTCCAGACCTCCTGTAGGCTCCCTGCCTGGGGGTTCCTGCAGTTCTCTCTCACCCTGGACCATTAAGGGTCATCTGTGGTCCAGCCTGGAGTTGCACCCTCCCTGCCCAGCTGTTTGGCTTCCCTGTGGCCCTGGTACTCCCCGCTGGGGCAGCGTGGCGGCCCTGTGGCTGGTACCACCTTCCTGTAGCTGCCTCTCACCTCACGTCCCTTTCTTTGCGGACCCACACCGACTTTGTTTTCTGTCCCAGAAATATCTCTGTCTCTCAGCACTGCCTCAGAGTCCTTTAGACACACGCCTGTGTGATCTCGAAGGTGCACTGAGAAGCCATTCTTAGTCTGGAGCCACTCTACCTCTCTGACCTTCATCTGCTCTCCTGCCTTCTCCATACCTTCCCGTCCCGCTGTCTGTCCTACCTTCCCGTCTCCTGCCCAAGGTGGGAACTTGAAGGGGCCACACTGTGCCCTGGAAATGGGGGCAGGGGCTGCTCTGGCTGGGTGGAAGCTGCCAGAGCCCCTGGGCCGAGCCCACTCTCAAGGCTTTGCCCCCACGGGGACCCCTGTGGCTCCTTGGGTGCTTGTTTGAGGCAGAAGTGGTCACCCCCTTAGGCCCCTCTCCCCCTTCGGACGCCTTCTTGCTACCATGATTGACATAGGGAGCCCTTTCTGTCCGCTTGGAAGGCAGAGTCCACGAAGCAGAGTTCAGGTCTTAATCACAAGGGCTTGTCTGTTCTGCCTTCTTCCAGTTCAGGATTCGAAAGATAAGTGGGGGCTTGGGAAGCTCACGGTGCCTGACAGTGGTCCAGGAGTGTGGCCCCAGCTCCTGTCACCTCAGGGGCCTGTTCTGGGGCCCTTCCCCCTTTTTCCCTCTTCCATCTCCCAGTGGCATGTGACAAGCCCCTTCCCCAGCAGAGCAGTGTCAAAAGGGCCCTTGGAGTGGGCATTGTGAGCATGGCCGGTGACCAGCTGGAATGAACAGCCACGGTCCCAGGCCTCTGCTGGCCCAGACACTGGAGGGTGGGCTTCCCTGACCAGCCTCGACCAGCTCCTCCTCTCTGCTGCTCCTCCCTCTGTGCCCCTTGGTCTCGATGAAAATTAAAGCCATTTAAAGTGGGTAGCACAGTGCTTGGTACAGTGCAGACCCTCAATAAACAGCCAAACGGATGAAAGAATGAAGCCAAACTCAGCTGCTGTCTTTTGTGCTTTAAGCTCTAGGGAAGCGGCTCAGGACCAATCCCACAGGACAGATGCATGGTTCAGACTTACTGGTTGTCGAGCCCAGATCTTGTCATTTGGTGTGCTGGCTCCCGTGGGACCAGCTGGGGCGGGATGGAGGGCATCGCACAGCTGGCCTCTTATGTTCCACCCCTCTCTGAACGCACCATCCTGCGGTCATCTCCAGCGTTTCTCCTCTGTCAGGGTCTGGCGCTCTTGTCCCCTGGCTCTGGGGTGTGCCTCAGATAGGGGGTTGGGAGGGGACAACCTCTGCATCCCGTCTGCTCTGTACCACTGGAAAGTGAGCCTCCTTCACGTAGTGATTCCTGCAGAAATCCAGCTTCTGATTGGCTTCCCATGGCTCCCTGCTCTCTCCTGAACCGGTCACTGGGTTCAGGGAGGCACTGCTGTCATTGGCCAGGCCTGTTGTCCTGGGAGCCTGGGCATGGGGTCCACCCACCTAGAGAACAGGCGCTGAGGGGCGGGGAGGGAGGTTCTCCAGGGAAAGTCAGATGCTGTTACCAGCGGTACAGGTACCCGACAGCCCAAAACAACAGACATCCTTGTGACATGGCCCCACCAACTTCGGCAACTCACGTCATTGCCTGACATCAGCTTGGGGTCAGATGGTCCTTGGATTTCAACTCTCAGCAGGTTGCATCTGAGCTCTGACGTCTTGGGCAAACCACTTACACTTTGTGAACTGCAGTCCTTCCCCCGGGAAATGGTGGGGGTGGCAGGCAGTGTCACCGATGGCAGAGCTTTGAGCCCAGGGCTGCAGCATGGTGGGCTCTTGCAGCTTTGCTGTCATTGGCGCCCAGCACGCAGCCAGGTTAATTTTAGAGACCTTGTGGGGAAATACATGCTGGTTGTGACCTGAGAAGATGCCATGCCACTTCCGTCCATCCTCACAGCCACTCTGCTCCCCGGACACTGACAGTCTCCGTTTCCAGGCAATAAAACTGACGTTCTAAAGAGATCCATTCCAGCCAGTCAGTGGCGGCATCTGTCTGACCCCCAAGTCCTGCTCTCTGTCAACTCTGTCCACCATCTGGAGCCTCTGTGCCCAGAACCCTTCTGGTGACCGACTCGGTCTTATGCACATCTGTCTCTCACAGAGTGCACGCGTTCATTTGTGGACGACCCTTTGTTTATCAGGAGTGTGTAACCAGTGTGCACGTGTCCTGAAATCGCTGTATGAGAGCCCAGTCAGTTCCTCCATCCGCAGGTACCTGAAGCCGCCTCTCTGCCTGGCCTTCCGTCCACGTTTCCCTCCACATGTCCCTGGGCTCGTGCTCACAGTTCCTTCCTCTCCCCTGTGCTCCTCATCCCGCCCTTTGAGCAGGAATGCCGTGGGAGCAGGGTGCTGTGGACACTGAATCAATCTCTGTGGCCGGCGGTGACTGGGTCCCGTCGGGGCTGCTCTTCTCATTCAGTGACAAAACTTCTGATACTGAATTTTAGACAAATGTCCAGAGGGTGGGGAGGTTCTGATGTCCAAGGGAGGCTATTTCCTACTCAGGAGTGTTCCTGGCAGAGACCTGAGGGCAGTGGCCGTAGCTACCTGTAGCGTCACACTTCTGCCCCTTGTCCCCAGTCCCACATGTGTTCCAGCCCACCTCTCTCCTCCTGTGTTGGACATTGCCCTCTCTGCTCACCTGCCCCACTGATGGCTCAGTCCAGGCTCTCATGTCCTTTAGCCACAAGATACTCTGCGGCCTGAGATCTTTCTGAGCGAGTTAAGCTGCCCTGTGTGTCATGGATTGCAAGCTTGGTAACTCTTAGATGTGATTGGCTCGTCTGCTCGGGGCATTCTTTGTTTTTTGGGTGAAGATGGGGCTGCAGCGGCCAGGTGCTGCCCGGAAGGTCCAGGAACTGTGGCTTTGGGGGACATTGATCCACCTGCTCTGTCCTTCCAGCTTTGGGTGAAGCCCCGGGGGACAGAACGCTTGTGTGCTTAGAGCTCCACACTGTCTCTGAGGCCCTCCATCTGCCTGAGCTCTATTTGCCAGGCACCGTGGTCAGATCTGATCCCACAAATGGTGTGAGGTCCACAGAGTCCCTGAGCCTCGCAGCAACACTCACTGTGGCTCTCAGGTTCACAGCTATATGGTCCTCACATCTGGTTTTATAGGGAAAAGTTTGTGGCAACATAGCTTGGGAAACATAAAGTTTAAAGGTTTCTTTCCTGCAGTACTTTTCAGTGCCTTTGACGTGCTGTGTGCTGTGGTCTCACATCTGTCAGCTTCTTCAGGAGATCGCATGTTAGTCTCAGAGAAGTTCCTGTGATGCTGAAGAAACCCTTCCCTCTGGGCCCCACCCTGCTCACACGTCTGACAGGGATCTGGAGAAGCCCCATGTGACCGTAGGTGCCTCAGGCCAACAGGGCTGGTTCTGAAAACTGGACTGACACCTACTGTGTGCTGGCTGGTGTGGGGGCACTGGGGCTGGGATGTCCTTGCAGGTCACATGAGGTTGGGGACATGTGCAGGTGTGTCCCCAGAAGGTGTGGTCAGGGGGAACAGGAAGGGGCCGCAGAGGGACATAGGGATGTTTGCAGCACGTCAAGGTTGGAGCCATCAGCAGGTGTCCTTGCCGTGACCAGAGGGGGTGGAGCTTACAAGCCTGTGTCTAGTTTTCTTGCTCCTGTTGAGGATTATCTGCCCAAACGCCAGAGGCCCCCTTGTCCTCCACCTGCCCTGCCTAAGTGCCACAGCAGAGCCCTGAGGCAGAGGCCAGGCCAGAGTTTGGACGTTTTCTTTTCTGTTGGCATCAGCTGGCCCATGAGTAGTCAAGCCTGGGAGTGACGTGTGGTTATTTTTGTTTGATGCTTCTTTTTCAGCTCATCTGTGTTCTTGGCTTTGTGTTAGTTACCAGGAGTTCAGGAAAACAGTGAGGAAGTGGGGTGCAAGGTCCTGGGTGAGACCTTGGATCCACAGGAGGCTGGGGCTGAGGAGGAGGTTGGGTTACCGCTGGGAGCTGGCGACTTGTCAGCCATGAGGTTGAAAACTCGGGAATGCTGATGGTGGATCCCAGACCCTGGTATGGGAAGGACTGGGGGAGGAAGAGCATGTTTGGAGACCAGTAAAGGTCTGGAGCTCAAGAGAGACTGGCTGGGCTGCCCGTGTGGCATCCTTGGGCACCTTGGCTATAGTAAAGGTGGGGGAGAAAGTGCCAACTAAGAGGGAAACCTGCATAGGGACTAAGGGTAGAGGAAAGGGCACCGTAAAAGGAAATGGTGGACAGGTCAGCAAGGGGTCCTGCTGGCAGCCTACCAATGGCAGGGCAGCAGGACGAGGCCAGATTTCACTGGCCAAGGTATCACGAGGAAGCAGGACAGTACAAGATCCAACTTTGGTGGAAGAGATGCTGGTGCCGGGGACCCTGGCTGAGTCTCCTGGAGGAGGGCTGCCAAGGTGTCAGGGGCCATGGTGCCGTGTTAGAGCGTGGGCGGCTCCAGGTGCTGTGCGTGGCCACGCATGGTTGGAGTCTGGCTGGGGGCGTCAGACAGCTGAGAGTAGTGATGGAGAGTGATGGGTATGCAGACATGGCTGGGATTCCTGCTCTGGGGACAGTGTGGGTGGTTCCCTGTCCCCAGCAGGATGGGGAAGAACAGACACCTGGGCTGTGGTGCCTCCAGCCACTCCCTGCTGTGCCCCATGCCATTCCTTAGGCTCTTGTAGGCCTCCTGCCATCTCCAGCATGCTTTGGGCAGCCTGAGGAGTATGGCTGGTCCTCTCCTTCCACTCTAGCTTGGTGGAACATGCTCCCTCAGTCCCTCACTTGTAGCAACCACCTCCTGGCACTAGCCCTAGTCTCTGGCCAGTGCCTCTCCAAGGGCGAATCTCTCCAGGGGCTCTGGAGCCTGCCCACCCTCATCCCAGGCCTCCGGCTCACCCCTGTCTGGTAGAAGGGCTCCAGCGCTGCCCAGACAGGCCTCCTGGAGCCCAGATCCTGCTTTGGGCTCTGGCCAAGCCTCTCCACTGGGTGACCCAGTGCCCACCCTGTTCTCTCTGCCTTTGCCATTTGGCTGTGGTCCTGCCAACTTGTCAATATGCTTCTGACACTTCTCAGACTCCAGGTACACCTGAAATGGCTCCACTGAAACTTAATCTTTGGGGCAGGGCCAGGCAGGATTCCACCCCAATGCAGGTCCCAGGCTAGGGTTGCTCTGTGAGGGTCCTGGTGCGGGTGCCTGTGTTGGGCCCAATCCTACAGGCCACTCACTCAGCATCTTCCCAGCAATGCCCCCTCCCTAGTGATCACTACTCCCGGCACCCATCACCCCCTTGAAATGCTCCCTTGGTCATTTTCCCTGCACTGCCCCTCACGGCGCCACGGAGACCAGGGGCTTCTCCTGGGAAGTATCTGTTTCCTGGGCCCACCCCAGGTGTCCTTGGAGCTCCTCTCCACTGTGATCGGGGCATGGTCTGGCCTCTTCAAGTGTCTCTGCTCTGGGGCTGAGCAGTTGGGAGGAGATGGTAGGGACAGAGGCTGAGGAGAGAGCACCAGTGCAAGGCGATGGAAACAGGTCCAATGGGAGAGACAGAGCTGGGTTTCCAGGGAGAGGCTGCCCTGCACAGGTGGGAGATGAAAAGACAAAACCTGCTTTAAGGGGAGGAAGGATGCTGAGGGCACCCTGTGTGGCATGGGATGGGTGTCAGGATAGCGCAGAGATGGGTGGGGGAATCCAGGGGGTTTGTCCTTGGCCCAGGCAGAGGCAGGGAGAGGTAGGTGCTAGAGAGAGGCCTGCCAGATGGCAGAGAGCGTAAGGGGACACTAAACAGCAGGTGCCAGGAACCTGCTGAGCACTTGCCACACACACAGCATTCCAAGTACAGCCTGTGGGTGGGCCTCTGGTCTGCACCTCACACACCAAACAGGTCACTCAGGCAAACCGGAGCCACTCAGATTTGCCCCAGTTGGGCCTCACCCCCTGCCCCCAGCAGCTTCAGATTTGCTCTCTCCCATTACACCTGGACCCACTGCACCTGAGTTCCTCCTTCACTGGGTGTNCTCCCATTACACCTGGACCCACTGCACCTGAGTTCCTCCTTCACTGGCCAGGGGTCCTTGCACCTGGCTGCCCTTACTGTGGTCGTGACTGTGGGCCATGTGCCTGCTGTGTGGGCTGGGCTGCTAACACTCTCTCTCATTGCTCTCTCCTGCTCATCTGCATGTGGCTGCTCTGTCTAGCTGCGCGGTGGTCCTGAGCGCCGGCTGTGTAAGTGAGCATGCTCATCCCATGCCTCTGTCCATGCGCTGCACCTGGCCGCCAGGTCTCTGCTCTGCTCAGCTTTGTGGGGCTTTGGTGCCACTGACAGCCTCCTGAGGCTTCCCAACCACACTACGGGATGGGGCTGGGCAGGGGGTGGATGGGAGGGGGTTTTCCTGGTGGAGTCTCCCAGGCAGGCCTCAAACCCTGGCCATGCTGTTGAGGGACTGACTGGAGAGTTCTGCCAGGTAATGGGAAGTGAGGTACCATCTGTAGATGTGTGTACGTGTGCGTGTACGTGCGTGTGCATGCCCGCACACATGTGCTACATCTTTGTCATGAGCAGGCCCCTGCCACTCCTGCCACTGCTGCTGCATGTTTGTGACCATGTGTGGGTGCTGTGACTGCTGCTGCGTGCCGCCCTGCTCAGGGAGGCTGTGTCATGGTGTGTCGCTGCCTCAGACCTGCCCTGCACGTTCTGCTTGTCCCCGTGGTCTGTCCGATGCCACGGACTTGTTCAATCACGGCGCAGCTGTCCCTGAAGCCACCCCAGGTTTCTCTGGGTCTCCTCCTGAGAGCAGAGCTGTGTGTGGGGACGGCGAGGGTTCTGCAGAGTCTCACTCTCCAGGTCCTGGGAGGATGGGCAGTACCCAGAGCCAGTGTCTGCAGCTGTCAGGGATGGGCAGTCAGCCCTTTGCCATGAGAGGCTCTTTCCTCTGTCGGGCTGGCTGGTCTTGGAGCCCCTGTGGAGTGGAGGGGACTGCTGGTTATAGTCCCCATTGGGTATAGGCCCCCCGCCCCCCACACACACACCAGCAGGGCCCTGGTTCTCACCCGGGCCAAACAAATGGCAGAAGTGACCATGGGATCCCACCCTCTTTCTTCCTCTGGCCCTAAGGCTACCGCCCAGTCCCAGCCACCCTGAGCG